TAAAGGAGGAAACACACTATGTGGGCAGAACCTAGAAAGCCATGCTGCTAGAGGCAGAGCATGAAGCCAGGAGAACAGACCACACGCCACATGGAAACACAGAACATGTGTGGAAGTCCAGTGAGGCTGCTCTGATCCGCTGGCATTTGTGTGTAGGGAATGACAACGCCACTCATCCTAAAACATATATCGCCCATCTGGGGACTCCTCATGGTTCCCAGAATTCTTCTAAAGGCCTCAGTTTGGTGCATTTCAAAACGGCCTCTTCTTTGGCATTTTGCAGTAGAGCAGCCGTCTGGCTCTCACGTCCTCCACTCTCTGCCCTGCTGATGGCCAGGCCACCGCAACAACCACTGAGCCCACGAGGCTGTCCGTTCACGCTCAGGCTCCCGGCACAGAGAAGCCCTCCCTCGCTATAGTCCCGGAGTGACGGGCTGAAGGCCTGTCCCTGTGAGCCAGCCAGACAGAGCATTAGCTAGGAAGATCTGTGAGAAGTCTGGACTTCCTGCCAAACTTCCCATTAGCTCTCTTGGATCTCCCCCTCTCTCCTTTCCTGTCTCCCTTCCTTTGCTAACTCGCGTTCCTCTTCCCAGCACCCTCCCATGCCCCAGCTTCTGCAAACTTCCAGACTCCTCTAAAGGCTGATTCTTAACTTGAAGAGTGGTTTGAAGTAGACCCATCATTCCCTCATTGAGTTTCAGGGTCCTGAAACAGAAGGTGTTTTCCTGTTGCAAGAATATGACCTTTACATCTGGGCAGCAAGGTCAACACCAGGACATTATCCGAAGACTGGTCCCTGGAGCCAGTACGGATCAGGCCTAACCCACTGCTGCTGCCTCACTCACGTGCCGCTTCCAAGGTTGCGATTTTTCAAAGATGCGTTTATGCGTAATGCTCACAGAAGGGAAGACAGGGTGTGAAGAGAAAGAGGGAGAGGTGGAGGGGGCAATGAAAAAAGGAGAATGAGGTGAGGAAAAACAAAAGAGACAGAGAAAGAGGGAGAGAGGACAGGGATAAGGGTAGACTGGAGGCAGATAGCAAGAGAGATAGCGACAAAGGATGACATGTTTTGATTTATTAGAGAAAACAAAATGCCTGCAATATTAAGTAGCACTATTTCTTAATCAAAGCTTTATTAAATTTCAGTAATAAAAAGCTAAGTGTTTTTTGGATAGGATAAAGCATAAAAGGGCAACGCTTTTAATACAGGGAAATTTAGGGGAGGATTTGTGCATGTGTTATGAGTGGAGAGGAGGGACTGAGACAAGGAAAGGCAAGGGATTTGGATTAGAGCGCTCCAGCCCACATAGATACAAAAAGGACCCTTGATTGAGAAATGCTTTTTAATTCATAGGATCTCCAATTGCTGAGACAATTGGGAGAGAGGCCTAGGAATTCCAAGCTTATTTCGCTTGCCCAGGAAGGAAGAGAGATGAGAGATGCATTTCAGTTCATTTCTCTCTTCCTACTGTCCACATATCCTACACCCAGCAGAGACTTGATAAAGAGACAACTGAGGCAAAATAATGAAATCTTCCTAACTCAGCCCCGAAGCCCTTCCCCTTCCTTTTGGCTGTTACTGTGGGTGGGCTCCGGGTCTCCCAGCCCTCGGTCCTGCTTTCCCTGTTCCTGTGGGGATTGCCTCCCGCCAGTCACTACTGGACAGGACCTTGGTGACCTTAGATCCCCAGCCCTACCCTGGTGTTTACTGCATGGAAGCACTGACGGCCCCCAAGGTACTTGATCTTTAGTTCTGGCTTTATTGAGACTGGGGAATGCTCTTCCTTCGTGATGCAATTCCAGAGACCTGCTACAACGGCCAACTTTCATACTAACTGACATGCAAGCATCCAGGCCAAAAAATAATCACCAAAGGGGTGTGCCTTTAGGAGCTAAATGTTCACATAAACATTCCCAGATATCAGTGCCAGATGGTGTGGCTTTGAATTTTAGACAGAAACTGACTTCCTGTATTTAAGTTCAACTGATAATGAACTCGCTCTGGGTTCCAAATCGACAGACATTCCATGTCAGGTCTTAACTATGCATGACATATAGACAATATAAAGCAACTGGACAGTTCCATGACACTCATATACCCTGCAGCAACCCCAGCCTCACTGGAATGGTACCATCTATATCCATGCCATGCAATGCTTTGGTTAGGCTGGTAGAATAGGGCTGGCAACTGCCTGGTATGCTAAGACTGCTCCTCCCCAAATCCAAGACAGACTTGGCTATTTAAATGCAGTCCTCTCTCATGCCAAGCTCAAATATGACCTCAGAATTCTTGTACCACACACTGGGCTTATCACTTGGAATCAAATCTATTTTCCCCTGCTTGTTCTTGAGATCCTCTAGAACCTGTTCCTCTCCCAAGTAATTAGTGAATGGCATTAGGGTGTTCTGCCTTTGGTGTTCTCACCTCTTACAAACCCAAATGAATGATGCCGATGCTGAGGAATTTAAGATCAATTATGCAAGAAGTACATTTCTGTGAAATATCAGTAAAGGCATTTGGGGAGGGATCCTTCGAAGCTTTGAGTGGCTTCAGCTCACATGTGTGCCCAAATGTATATCTGTGATTCTCAGCAGAAGGCAATTTTGACCTCTCACTCCCACTCCAGGGGGATATTGGCACTGTCTGAAGATAATTTTGCTTGCTACAACTGGGAGTCTTAGCATAACTGGCATCTGGTGGGTAGAGGCCGGGGATTTGGCTAAATATCCTTCAATGCGCAAAACAAACCCTCCTGACAAAGAATTATCCAAAATGCCAATGGTGCCAAGGTTGAGAAACCCTCATATATAATAATGCTGAGTATTTAGTGGTAGAAAGAATGTTAGAGAACCTCTCACCCAACTCTCTCATGTCATAAATAAAAAAACCCAAGACCCAGACAAAGACCTGCATAGACAGCTCAGCCGAGTTAGCAAATAACCCCTATCCATCCTTCTAACGGGACATTAAAACCTGCCTTATCTGTGGAGGACAGCAAGCTATCAGTTCCCTAACAGTTGATTAGTGTGAGTACATGGAGATTAGAGTGACAAATGTTCAAACCATTGGTTCTAGGCATGGATTGTTGGGTGCAGGGAGCAGGGGGCAGTCTTGTCACTTTTGTACTTGTGAATATCACAAATCAGTCATCGTTTAAAATTTTAGTCAACAAGTATTTATTTCAGGCTCTTTATTGTGCTGAGGCAAGTAGCACAGTGAGCAAATAAAGATAACCCTTTCTCGCAAAAGCTTGCAATCAGCTGAGAGAGATGGACAGTAACAGCTTCAGTACGGTGTAATCAACGCTGAGACGCAAGAATGAAGCTCTGAATGGCGCGTGGAAGTGAAGAACTCTAAAAGCTGAGCCCCCAGCGTGGCATGCTCAGCACAGCCAGAGCGTTGAAAACCCAGCTGAATGGTCTGCGCCAGAATCAAGCCATTTTTGCACTGGCTACTGGTGGTGTCTCACGTTTCCTATTGATACAGTTAGTAACCGGCATGTGACTACTTTCAGGTTGTTGCACACGGTGGGTACATTTTATATCAGAAGCCTTAACTCTAAGCCTGAAGGCTGAGGAGCGTGTGTGTATAGACAGTAAGTCGGCCGTACTGAGCTCTCAGGGCTCCCCTCCCATGAAACACCAACTTCCTCCCGGCCAGGGATGAGCTGGGGAGACTCAGGAGAAAGCTGAGTTTCCAAGGCGTGGCATTCCAGGGCTGGCCCGCCAGGCCACCCGCAAGCACCTTCACTTCCTGCAATTCATCACTCTCTCACCTGGCTGCCTGTAATGCTGGGTATTTGAGAGCCACAGAGTGAGCGGGGAAGTGACGAGAATAAAATGCCAACCCTGACACACGTCTAGTCTGGAGAATGAGCGGTCCTCTCCCCAGGACCCGCAGATAACACTTCCCCACGCCCCCCATCTCAAGGGCTCCATAACCTCTCACTCTTCACTCCCCAGACTGTTGTCGCCCACCACCTGCGCTCTACCTGCAGGTCACAAAGCTGCGGATAGGCTTGTGTCTCCTATCCAGTTCCAATAAACCAAATGAATTCAAGCTTCAATTTTTCCTCAGTCTATAAAGGGAAGCATCATCCTGTGATTTGGCTCCTTCCCTGTGTTTATGGTTGACAGAGATGTATGGATGGGTAGAGAGGGCATTTTTATTTTTATTTATTTATTTATAAGTTTTATTAAAGTTCAGCTATTACCTACAAGCTTCAGGCTCCCTTTAGAGAAACAAATATCACAATTGAAGCAGCTGGTTTCCAAGATGCCAAATTAAAATAGATGAAGAGGTAAGGAGGGGAAAAAAAAATAAAAACATTAAGCTAAGACTTCTTCCCTCCCAAGTGCACTGTGCCCGCTACTATATTGCACACAGGAAATTGACTCCCAACATAATTAAGCCAGGGTTACTAGGCGAAAAAAAAAAAAAATCCTCAAATTATTCAGCCCCCCAGAGCTATTCTTTTGCAATCATTCAAGTAACGGAGAAAAGAGCCAACTTTTTAATATAAATTTGTTATCAGCATCTACATTGTCCAAGCAATTCTCAACACTCCACATGGCCAAGAATATAGAGTCATGAGCTGAGTTGAGTTGAGAACCAGATGCAAGATTACTGCTTCTCGCCTGGCCATAGCCTTTTCTTCCAGTGGGCAATCCCATTGGATCCTGGCATTTATGCCACCAATCCTTCAGGGTTGCTGGCCCTGCTAAGAAGGAGCTGGAGAGGACCCCGGGGCTGCAGCAGACAACATACCCACTTCAGGTCAGTTATCTTGGCGGCATCACGTACAGACAAGAAGAGAGATTTACTTTCTCTTTGCAGTCATGTACTTGGAACAGCCATAATAGCCTCCATCTCACCCCCAAAAGATCCAGAACGTGGCTCTTTTGCCTTACAGGTGAAATGCAAGCCACTGGAACAGGAGAGTACCTTTCACTAAAATCAGAGGGGGAAGAAATAACCACTCTTCAAAAGAGGTGCTTACTGGATTTCAGCAATGCTGCCAAAACTTCAGTGGCTACCCTGGGGAAAGAGAAAGAAAAGTGAGAAGTCAATGTTCAATGGTCTTTTTGTCAGCCCATGGATCCCACAGCCAGCGTGCTCCTTGCTGCCACCTAACAGACCCATGATTAACCAGGTAGCAGGCTTCGTATTGATCGCCCGCTGACCAGTAGAGAGGCGTAAATGCAGAACCTGTGCTGAGTGAAGGGTCTATCTTGCAAATGGGTCTCAGAGGTCCCCTCTGCTGCTGAAAATCTTTCCCCTCCCTCTTCTTGCCTCCCACTTTCCACCAACTTCCTTGCACAGAGTGGCTCGTTTTTCTGTCCACACCAGCCAGAGCTCTTGTCAGTCTCTTAATTTGTACCTGGAAACGGGGGGGGGGGGTTGGAAGATGGGCAGGGAGGGAGGGAGGGAGTGGGACTTGGAGGCTCCGTGAATGCCGCAGTGCGGTGCAAACTTCTTGAAACACTCATGCCCCTGGGGACGCTGTGGGAAATGCACTCACACATTGGGAAGAGAGGTTGCTTCCTTAGGGCAGAAAACGGTTATGTCAAGATTTTCCTTCCAAATTCATCAATTTCCTCCGTGCAGGAATTGCACAATCTTTGCAGTGAAAGGAGGCATATGGGAATGAAAATTATGTTTTGGCCCATGTGTTAGTGACCTTTTAATCTGTTCCCTGAGTCTGGGAAGGTTGCACAAATACCCACCCACGGAGCAGAGGTAAACTTCACTGGTGTTGAGAGCACTACAGTATGAGTCTGGGAAGGAGAGTCATGTTTGCTTTTCTAAATGGCCACGGTAGCGTATCTTTAAGGTGTATGAAGCAGTGAGTGATCTGTTCCCACCAGTCCCTCTGAGGGCTGAGGAACCAGACCAAAGAGGCTGGATCGATCACCCTTCTGAGATTATATATAGACAGTGAGCAGAGTTGAGACCCCAGATCCAGGAATCTTGCTTCCTCCCACATCTCTGCTTCCTCTCCATCTGTTGTTTTCTAGAATTTCTCTCTTGCTGGCCCTGCCCTGGCCTCTGCCTGGTCAATGAAAGATGGTTCTCTTTATAACATATTAGCTAATATTGAGCGACAGAGCCAGCAGTAAAAGGAAAATAAATGACTGAATAAACATAAAGTCAAATACAATAGAAATGCAGCACTTGAGACATCATGGCTTCCAATAACCTGCAAGGGAGTCCTGCCACAGCAGAGGCCCGAAATCCACAGGCCCCAGTGCAAACCCGCCACTGGATGACACCCCAGCTCAGCACGACCAAAACACCCACAGGGCAGTCAGAAAGACAGTGAGGCTAGCTTGCACGATGGGCTACTTCATTCATCCTTCAGAACCATTTTCCTTTTGGCTAATCAACTTTCAGCTTCTAACCCTGCTCTTTTGTAACCCCACAGAGTTTTGGCAACAGTGGGTTTGAGAAGGAGCACGTTGAAGGTGTTGCTGGGAATCCAAGGTAATGTGGAAAATCTAGGAGCCACAGTATACAGGGCTTATCTTGGGCTGGGGCAAAAATAAAATCACTATTTTGGGGGAAAAGCAGAGTAGCTAAATTAATTTCATCAGAAAGGGTTAGCAGAGAAGAATGAAACCTTGGAAACAGGAAAAGAATGAGGATGTTCCAACAAGCCAGTCCTAGCTGGTGGGCCAGGTCTGTAGAGGCAACAGCCTTGCATTTCTGATTTGCATGGCTCTTTTGTTTTGGGGAGTTCGCAGATGAGGCAATGGTCCACGAGGTGAGAGTTTTATGAGAGACCAACTAGTGGTGGGGAGGGACAGGCAGCAGGCAGACTGGTTAAGGAGAATGAAAAGTAATAAATGCTCCAACCAAAAGAGTGGCCCGGGAAAAGAAGGGGTGGGTTACAGGGAAGTGTAGAGCCTTGCTACTCAAAGTGCACCAGCAGCCTCTCATTTCCTAAGAGCTAAATAGAAGTGCGTCCCCATCCCCATCCCTGACCTGCTGAATCAGAATCTCTACCAGGCAATTCATATGTGCAGTAAAGTCGGGGGGACAATTGGTTTAGAAGACGGCATCGTTATGGCTTTGGTTCTCTGTGCAGGCTGAAAGGGAGATTCAAGGGGACTCCCAGATCTTAATTCTCTAGAAAAATACTAATAACATGGCAATACAACAAATCAATATGAATCCGAACAGTGACATTATATGGCAGGAAACACATGGTAAGTAAGTGTCACATTAGTCAAAGAATTGAGGCAGGTTCCTGAGATATCAGAAAAGATTTATTTCTTTATAGGTCATAAATGGAGGATCAATGCGCAGTGCAGCAAAGGGCATACTTAGGTCAACGATGGAGATAAGATTTGAAGCCACAGTCCAGTATTCTAAAGAGTTCAGATTCAATTCTGTAGGTAATGAGAAACCATTTTTTTTTAATCAAGGTGATATGGTGTAAAAAATGGAAAAGTGAGAGGGAGGTTATGAGCAAAGAATTAACAAGATTTGATGAAAGGTTAGTTATAGAGGGCAAACGAAAGGGAAGAGTCAGCAATGGGCTGAAATATTTAGGCTGGGTAAAAGGGGGAATATAAGAAAACTTAAGGGGAGAAGTTTAGAGAAAAATAATAAATTTCAATTTGGGACATGCTGAGTTCAAGATGATGGGAACAAAGCTAGTTGAAGCTGTTCAGAATGTAGCTGGAAGTATACATAGAGAATTCTGGAGTGCATTCAGAGTTGGAAATATATGTTCATGAATTACTACAGTAGCAACGATGGTTGTAGCCATGGGAGCAGGTGATATCTGTGAGGAAATTCAACCAAGAGCAGAATAGGGGGCTGATCCAGGAAAGCATCTACACTAGAGGGAAGGAAGCCCCTAAAGGAGTCAGAGGACATACAGTTGAGGATATAGACGGAGACCTGGGGGTGTTCAGCTTTGGGACTGAAAGTCACTAGGTTGTCTAGGCACAATATTTTTCAAACTGCATATTGTGATCCAATAAAGCATTGTAAAATCAACTTCATAAGTATTAACTATATTTTTTTAACCACTTCAGTACGGCGCTCACTGGCCAACAAAACCTTGCCCACAGCCGGCACTCATAGTCCTCACAATAGCTTGTGCTGTGCATGGACAACGAATCCGTCTTGCTCTTGCGTGATGAGGAAAGCTTGAAAGCACTGAAAACTTGTTTTACTTTACAGGCAGCTTTATTTGTAATGTAAATCAGAATAGGTAACATATACATATATGTTTTCATTACGTTATTTTTAAATGTTCACAATTTTATTTTGAAAATAAAAAATTAGAAAAGTCATATCACAGCTGTTGGCTAAAGTCGATGCTTGGCTGTGCGCCTTCATACCACGGCTGTCGGCTAAAGTGGCTGTGCGTGTTTATCTGTGGCTGTCGACTATAGTCGACGCTCGTACTGAAGTGGTTAATAAAACATAAGAAACTGGAACGGAATCGAATATATCAGCATCATCTCATATAGCAAAGGTTGGCAGTGATCTGAGAAACTTTTATTTCAAAGCATATATATACATAGGTGTACCTTTTGGGAATGTGATATATAAAAAATGCTTTCCTTTATTAAAAAAAAAAGAGGTTGTCTAGGATGTTGCATCCACATAAGATCTGAACAAGGACAAACATCTGGAATGAACGAATTAGCACACTGAAAGCGTTTGATCTCCCACATGGTGCTTGGGTCGCTCGTGTGAATGTCACCACGGGCTCTTTATTTCTGGTCTATTCAGTGGACACGTGTCTGCAGCACGGGCCCATTGTCTGAGCATTGCCACGCTGTTGCTTTCCTGCTCCTGCCAAGTAGCGCTGAAAAAGAAGTAAAAGCCCACAGAACCGAGGCCACTACTCTGTCGACCAAGGGCTAAAGCTACGAAAAAGGAAAAGTGTAAGCTGCTAAAGTTTTTAAATGAATGAGAAGGAATTCAGTTACTTCCCCTCCAAGCAACCGAGCTGACTGTATTGAGTGGGTGAACTGAGGCCCCAAAGTTAGTGCCTTTGGAGCGTGGACTGCCTCTGGCTGGACTTGGGTACCTGACATCCACGGTTCCAGTATGTTATGGAAGATGACTTTCTGGGAAGGCACTGTTTCTTAAAGTTGAACCTCATGCCACCCTCCCACATTATTTGAGCTTCCCAGTGGGGCACCTGTGTGGGATAGAAAATAAAAGTGCCAACATGTCTTCCATCTGACTTCCCCTGTGTTTACATCAATGAAAGAGTCATTGTAGAAATTTTTTCAGGACATCCTGCTCCAAGAGAATTACAACAACAGCTAAAGGCACAGTTGAATGGCCCTCATCCTACCTGTTTTCACATTGTAGGATGACTCTGCCAAGATTCTAGAGGTCTCAGATCACTTCTACTCTCCTCCCCAGAAAAAGCTTAGCTTAAACTAAGCTTAGCAAATTTGTAAATACCCTCTTGTCAGGAATTTTGCAAAAATCCACAGAGTTGCAGCAATTCAATTTACTTCTTCAACTTGAAGTAAATTTTAAAAGCCATGACAAGAGCATCTTTAATAATTATCACCACTATTTAGGGAGCCCCTATAAATGCCAAGCATTGTGCTAAGTATCTATATACATCATTATATATCACATTTGATCTTCACAAGAATATTAAAGGGTGATATTATTAGTCCTGTTTTACAAGCAGCAACAAAGAAATTTACAAAGGTAAATAACCTGCCTAAGAGACAGCAGCACTGAGATCCAAGCCTACCTCTGTCTGACTCTAAGTGTGGTGCTTTTAATTTCCTTTCTCTATTTTTAACATAATTGTAGAAGGAATCTAAAATACCTCTGGGTGCAATTTCTTTATCTTTCAAATAAGGACTTCAAGGGGTTAGGTGACCATACATGGTCATAGGATTAATACATCACAGAAAATAATTCTAGGTATATTAGAAAATATAGTTAAGAAAAAAAAACAGTGGAACAAATTAAAATCATCCAAATATCTCTCACTTAACTACTGCTATAGTCCCAGAACTAATCCATCCATATCCACTCTAAGT